TCCCTGGGACCTCACTAGTGCGCAAGTGCGAGCTCTTCAACATTCTAACAGGCACCATGATAGCGCAAAATCGCGAATCTTCAATGCATATGTAAAGAAATATACGGTAACCCGAATTTACCACACTCGCAAAATCGCACACAGCCAACCATACACGCAGTATGGTATCGCGATTCGCGATTTTGCGCTATCATACTGGGTGTATGGTCGGCTGTGTGCGATTTTGTGAGTGTGGTAAAATCGCATAACAGCAAAATCGCATAACAGCCGAGCATACACCCAGCAGCGCTGCTGATGCCTGAAAGGTATGTGGAATGAAGAGGGCGGGCATCGGGAGGCCACTATGGCACGGGGCAAGCACTATGGGCAGTCTATCTGAAGTGTACCTGGCGTATAAGACGACCCCCCACTTGGAGGCATATTTTTCAGGGCCAAAAAATCGTCTTATACGCCGGCAAATACGGTATGCATTCCTTTGACAAGTCCATCCTTGTAAGCTGTCGTGAAAAGAGTTCAAGATCTTCCGCACCCTCCCCTACCCGACAGAATATAGTCACACCCGCTCTCTGAGAGCGAGTTAACTGCCCTTCTATGGCCTAAGTTGTCTAATTCACCATGTTCCCCAGAATCTAAGCTATTCAAACAGGTTCTGACCTCCACCAGCAGGGTTTTTACTTTAATTCTCATTATTTTGGTTGGTTTTTTCTCTGTAGGTTTGTGAAACAGTCTTAACATCTGGAGAAAACCTAGCTAGAAAGAGAAACTTCACAGCAAAGACTCCACTGATGTATGAGTGGTACCAAGAATATTATGTGGGGGCTGCTCATGGCCTGGCAGGGATTTACTACTTCCTGATGCAGGTGAGAGGGGATGGTGGTGACACTTCAACAGGTGTTCCTGACTTGACTGACAAGGTCAGAAGACAGGTGCTCCAGCTCCATTTTTCATTCTGTCGACTCCTGCGTCACCCTCCCCGTAATGACCTGGCCTGAACAACAAGATTAATATTTGCCAAGGGGCATTTCAAGTGGATAAACATAAAAGGCGCTGTGCCTTCAGATGATGTTTGACTTATGGATGACCATACTTGCCTAGGCCCACTTGTCTAGACTAAAGTGTTTTGACCTATACTTATTATTATTTTACCTTGTAAGGCACAACCCATTGGAACAAATTCCAGAAGTAAGACCAAAATCAGTAGAAGAAAAATGAGCACGTGTTGCCCAAGGCTCACTTAGAAAGCAAAGCTAAGGAGCCTTTCCAATGGATTTTGTATAACCTACCCGGGAAATAGCTGAATAGGCTATGCTTAACCGTTCTGTATTTAGATCAAATACTGTTGTGGGACATCAGCCAAAGTCAAATAGACTAAGGACAAATAGAATTTACTGCAGCCAGCATAATCGGAGGGGGGAGGTCAGAAGGGGACTGCTCATGGGAGAATCATTTCTGGGGCTTATTTAACTCTCTTTAAGGAGAAATTGGCACTTGTGAATAAGAATTTATGGCTAAAGAAAATTGATTTTTAATGGTAGCAAAGGCGTCCCCCTCACCTTCCCAAAGTACAATGTGGCATAAAGAAAAGTGTTTCATTAATATGTTCAACATGAGTGCTTAGACATACATACTACTTACTGGTTGAGTAGCTGGCTATAATAATGCAAAATCAATGTCAGGCCTGCCTTCTCCCCATAACTAAACAATGACAATGATGCTGGAAAACACAAGGTTATTATTGCTTTTAAATGCAAAGTCACACTTTGAGGGTTAGTGGCAATAGGAGACCAACTATTGTATTTATTCTACACTTCTCAATTAAGAGTTTTATAATTAGGGATTTTGACAGTTTAGACTTAAATTCCTTTATTTTCTGACTTTTTATAGACTTAAATCCCCTCATTATTGCTCTATTTCCAAAAACAAATATGACTCTTAAAAGTTTTCAGGAAAGGAGAGTTCATGTCTTCTGAAGTTTCGAGGTGAGTTGAGTCACGTGTGTCAGTGACTGAACAGCCACATGACCTTTCATTGAAGTAGATCATCAGGAGCATCTTACCCTCTACCTCCTTTGCTCTATAGTAAGAAATCTGGAAACCCAGCTACTGCGTTTTCCATTGGCAGATTGTTAGCTATTTTAAATGATTTCATTTTTAATCCGTGTAAAAGTTCATTCCAGGAGGTGCCTATGTATCAGCATAAAGCAATATATGCGTTGGCCATTTTGGATAATTCCTGCAAATTTGAGGAGAATCCTTTCATTCTACACTAGCATTTTAAATTGAATGTGAACAATATTCTTTGGATAAAGTGAAATCTACATGTGCTCTAAGGAACTCAGTGCAGGTTCAGTGTCTGAAAGCCTTGTCATCCGTGTGGCCTAATTCCCTGCCACCACAGCCTCCTGCCTGTGCTTCATGCCACTGCCCCCCTCGGCCCCACAAATTCACCCCCTACCTGGCAAAGACAACACTTTGAACTTGTAATTTAAAGAAGTGATCAGTGCTTTGAATCAAAAAGAGAAACTAAAAATTATATCAAAAGTGGAGACTCATATGCTCTGTTCAATGTGTCCTGTAAATCTGTACATTGTTGTATCAGAATCGCCCTGCGTAAGTGTCAATCCCAAATGCTCTGCAGACAGGCTTGGTCCAGAGTCACACAGCAGTTTGGAGTCTAGTTCCAGGTCTCCTAACTTGTTCGTACCCTTCTCCACTGGAAACATCTGAATGTAATAATGGAAGTTTTCTTTGTGGATCTCTTTCTGGGCTTTAATGTAGGCTGAAGGAGTTCAAACTTCTCTTACACTCACTCTCTCAAGCATTGACTTAGGAAAGTTATTTACATGTATGTAAGATAACAAAAAATGAAAAATAAGATGGACATAAGGCCAAAGAGTTAACTGATAGCCTAGTTTAATTTGTTCCAAGAGGCAAAATAATTGGATGGAATTCAAAATTTCTTAATGATTTCCAATTCCTTCTGGTCATGTTTTCTCTATGGTTTAAAACTCATTCCTGAGGCTCAGGAAGATCTGTTTGCTTCAGCAGAACTAATAATTCCGTTTCTCACTTCTAGCCCTGCCTTCAAGTGAGCCCTGCCATGCTACATAGCTTGGTCAAGCCCAGTGTAAACTATGTCTGCCAGCTGAAGTTCCCTTCCGGCAATTACCCTCCTTGTGTGGGCGACAGTCGGGACCTGCTGGTCCACTGGTGTCACGGTGCCCCTGGGGTCATCTACATGCTCCTCCAGGCCTATAAGGTACTGTGAATTTTCTCCTTCTAGAAATAAATTGGAAAATATAAAATTCTAAAATTTAAAATTAGTTTTATGCATAATCCTTAAAGGAGCAATAGATAAATCGCTTGTTAGACCTAAGCTCACCGTTGCTAAATGGATTATAACTCATTCTCACAGTGTCTGTCTGCCCCAGAGTGGACATTATTTCACAGAGCAGGAGACTGCTTCCCTGACAACTAGAGTAGCCAAGAGTATAGCCTCAGTTGCAGAGCCATGATGAGTCCCCAGGAACTCGATGAAAAAATAGAATGAATCCGCCTCACACATTGCTGGTGGGGATGGAAAATGGTGCAACTGCTGGAGAAAACAGTTGGCAGTTCCTCAGAAAATTAAAGTTAGACTTAACATATGATCCAGCAATTCCACTCCTAGGTATTTAAAATCAAGGATCCAGACACACTTGTACACCTGTGTTCCACAGCAGCATTATTCACAACAGCCAAAAGGTAGAAATAATTCCAAGTATCCATCAGCAGATGAATGGATAGACAAAATGTGGTATCTGCCTACAGTGGAATAGTATTCAGCCATGCAATAGAGTGAACTTAGGATCTAAACTATAGCATGCATCCATGAACATTGAAAACATTATAAATTACAAATCTACAGACTGGCATCTCATAATCTAAGTAAGCTTTTAGTATATCAAATTTTACTTTTAGAAACTTGGGAAATCTTTTAAAAATGCCTTTATGTTTAAGATCACTTAGTTTGCAATGAGATAATTAAAATGTCTAATCAGAATATTCCTCAAGTCTTCGATTAATATAGGAGTCCACAAAACATTGTAAAGGTGTATCTTTATTTTTCTGACGAAGTGCAGGGTTTTATAGCCAAATCAGTTTTTATAATCAGCTTTATATACACAGTTTCTCCTTCAGTATGTGAAGAAACTTCCTTTTAATCAAGGGCATCATTGTTACCAAAGAAGGTACCGTGTGTTCTTTGGGAAGTGACTAATGATAACAGCAAGTTTCAAGTAAAATAATGTTACTTCACCAATAACACACATGCGCGCGTGCGAACACACACTTAAAACTTAGACCATGCAAACAAAGTCATGCCCGTTATTTTTTTTTTAAAGCTAGCAGTTTTGTAATTTGTCCCACTGATGTACCACATCTCTGTACAGCTAAATCCTTTATCCTTTCTTACCAAGCCACTTCCCTCCCTCCTTCCTCCATCTCCCCTTCTTTCCTGTCGAGGAGGAAGACCAATAGAATTTTCTTTCCTATCCTTTAAAATAAAATGATGTCCCTGACTCTGCAGGTATTCAAAGAGGAACAGTATCTCAACGATGCCTATCAGTGTGCTGATGTGATCTGGCAGCACGGGCTGCTGAAGAAGGGATATGGGCTGTGCCATGGCACTGCGGGGAATGCCTATGCCTTCCTGGCGCTGTACAACGTCACGCAGGACGCCAAGTACCTCTACAGGGCCTGTAAGGTAGGAGTCAGAGCCCCAGAGGCTGTAGAAAGGTTTCCAGTTAATCTGATTTCATTCATTCATTTGTTAAACCGTATCTGTGGGACACACAATTATTTAAGAAAAACCTTCAAAACCATTCAGTGGAATTATCTTTCTTTTAAAAGGACATAATTCTATTCAGCAGCATTTCTGAGAGAAAAAGAAAGATGTAGGTGGTGTCATTCCTTCGTTTCTTCTATGCTAACCTTGGAGATGTAGGGCTCAGATAGCTTATTAAATTCCCTTCATGTTTCACACTCTGTCAGGCCATGCATTTCTCTGCATTAACTCCTTTTCTCTGCCTTGAAGATAGTTTTTTTACTTTTTAGAATAATTCTTATGGGCGATGTCTATCAACTTGTGGGGGTCTCTGGAAGAAATCACAGCAGTAATTTAACTTGGTCTCATTTTCAGTTTGCTGAATGGTGCTTAGATTATGGAGATCATGGATGCAGAACACCGGACACCCCCTTCTCCCTCTTTGAAGGTATTTTCCCACATGACTTTTTGCCTTATAATGTCAGCATCCACTGCTCTGCTTGCTAGTTAATGTATTTAAATCAGAGTTTTGTCAACAACTTAATTTTACAATCATTTATTAAACTACTTCCTTATTTCCTAGTACAACAGCTCAGTATTAAAAATCAGTGAGCACGTGGACTAGCACAGACCTCATACTAATAGTCATAGTGATGACTACCATTATGGAGCCAGGCACGTGCTAGGCATAGTGCAGATGCCGTCATAAATCTCAGCGAAAACATACAGACATTATCCGCACGTCACAGATGTGAAGACAGGGAGGGACCCTCAGTGCTCACACAACAAATGGCAGGGCTGTGCCTTGAACTTGTCTGGCTCCACTCTCCCTCCTGTCTTCCCCTGGACGAGGCGGCTGAACACCTCACTGGTGATCTCCTCTAATACTGAACCGCAAGGAATGTAAATATAGACAGATGCCTACTTCATTTAGATCATTGCCATTAATATCGTAACGTTGTTGCTGCAAAATGAAGCCACTCTCTAAAGTGGAGTCGTTTGGTATACTAACTTTCCTCTTTCTCTCCCTTCAGGAATGGCTGGGACAATATATTTCCTGGCTGACCTCCTCGTGCCCTCGAAAGCCCGGTTTCCTGCATTTGAGCTATAGAAGGACAGCCTGTCCTGCAACTCATGCATGACCCTTCCTGTATATCAGACCTGAGCGAAATGCTGTCAGTGCTTTTCAATGAAACAGTCAAACTGTGTACTTGGTTTAGTTGATTTTTTTTCAGAATTTGTCTTTAGTTCACTTCCTTTTTTAATCATTTATTTTTATTTTAAAATATCCAAGGAAATCCTTTAACTTTAACTTCACTTTCTTCCAAAAAAGAAGCTGGTGATATGTATAATATTTTGAGGGCATATATATATATATATTTTATAACTTGGAGGAAGTCTTGCTCTTATTTAAGCTTATGAGTATAATTGTCTGTTACTGTTCTAAAAATGGTTAAAAGAAACTAAATGTAGATAACAGATAAATGTATGATTATTGTTGGACATTGCCCTCTACCTCTGCTCTTTAGTATTTTTTCTCCAACAGTTCAGTTTTATGACTTTGCTTTTCTCTAGGGGCTGATTATGAAAGGGAACAAAAATATAACTCTGTGCTTCCAGGACAAAAATTGCAGGAGTTAAAAACTGCTCTAGCGACCTAAATGCCATTTTTTAAAGTCACAATGTTAATTTAAACTAGAGATCAGCGTACTCTGACATTTGCCCCTTTTTGTTAGGAAAGCATCCAGGCTCTAGTCGTGAAGATGCTTTGAAGGTTAGTTCTAGATAAGCTAACAATAAGAGCTCATTGTGTGTTATTTTTCTAAAGTAAGCTAGTGCAGTTCGTAACTATTTATTTAAATTTGTTTGTTCTCTAGAATTAGTATAAGAACAGGAAACCTGTGTTCAGGCTGTGACTATGTTGTAGCTGAGGACTTGAGTCCACCCTGTCCCACTGACCTTCTAAACTTTGATTTGTTTCACTTGCTTGGCAGTGACTTTGCTTTCATGCTGGCTGTTTGATGCGAGCCACGTTTCTCTTCCTAGCAACCTATCTGGATGTAGGTCTTTTCACTAAATAGTAAAGCATTCTAATTCTATTTAAAAGGAGGGAGGGGTGCTGTGTGTATAGCCATTAGCTTGGAAAAAAGCAAAACACTAAGCTGTTGCTATAAATCCAGTGATCATGCTTAGAACAAATGGATCCTGCCTTTTTGCATATGTTAGGCTTTACATTCATCAATTTCTGAGCCCTCAGAATAGGGTATTTATATAGTAGATGCAGAATCCCTGGTGCTTCAAGTCTGTACAAATGTTTTGACTCAACAGCTTCTACTCCTTTCATTGCTGCCTTTCTCAAGCTTGTCTTATTCTATGTTTTGACTAATTTTAGAACATTTGTAGCTTTAAAAAAACAGGTCTAAAAGTTTTAAATGTGCCTATCTCACAGCTCTCTCAGTCATAAAAACATGCTATTTTTTATCGGAAGTTTGAGCCAAAACCCCACTGAGTGTGTGTTGATTCCTGCAGTCCCCTATTGTTTTCCACAAAGCACCAAAACAGCTAATATTATTGGAAATTGTCTAAGCCTTTAAACAGGGGTGGGGAATCTTTTTTCTGCCAAGGGCCATTTGGATATTTATAACACCATTTGCAGGCCAAACAGAATTATCAACCTAAAAATTAGCCTGCTATATTTGGTCAAACATTTAATTAACTCACCCCTAATGCCTTGGCAGGGCCAGACCAAATGATAGTGTGGGCCTTATATGGGCCAGACTTCCCCACCCCTGCTTTAAAGGCTACTGACAACAGGATCTAAAAAACAGCCCATTACTCAAGTCCTAGGATTTGCTTGTCCTCTGTGACTTGTGCTATTCGGGGACAACCTTGTGCCTCTTGGGTTTCTCAAGTGCTGCTGAGAGCCATGTGCAAGCTCTGCCTTCCCAGGAACGTTTCAGCGGCGTGTCAGCATCCACAGGAAAGCTAATTTGCCTTGGCTGGGTGTCTAACTGGAAGGAACAAAACCCACTTGGTTTAGTTAAATATCTTACTCTACTTGCCTGTACTTCTAGCAATTATAGTTACCAAAGGAATAACAAAAAAACATAATTTCTTAGCCTGAGACTTGATCAGAGTGCTTCTCCAAACATCTTAGTCAATTTAAACCCCAGGAAGACTTCAAGGCAGGGAAAATAATATTTTGAATAAGATTCTGATTAGTACTTGAATTACAATCTGGCTACTGTCATCCATTATCAAATTCATCAATATAAACACAATTCAGGTACCTTTTTTTTTCTTTTTAGGACTTATCGAAACTGGCAGGATTTGTGTCGTTTTTAATTTTTATGCATAAGAGCTGAGAAAGTTGATAGGATTTTAACTTAGGCAAAGGCTATAAACTAAGACCATGATAGAAACTGAAAGAAACTTTTACATTAGCTTTCTTAGTTTTAAAAGGAAGAGGCATCATTTCAGTTGTATTTCTGTTGTATTATTTTTCTCTCATATATTTTTCTTTTTGGTGAAAAAAAAAACACCTTCCCAAAACTTGCCTCCCAGAAAACTCATTAGTGTGTCTCGTCTCCATGAAAAGACTAGGTGGTAAAACCTTAAGAGTTTGCCGCACAGTGTTCATTTGTCCTGCCTGTGTTTGTTCCTGTAGTGATGAAAATTGCAGTAGTTAACTTTTCATCATGGAAAAAATGCTAACATTATCATAACTATCTTCATCAATACCATTGGGCTTTGGTCTCCTCCAGGTTGTCTGTCTCTAATCCTTAGTTAGAGTCATTTGGCTCCCTTTTCATCTCTGATGTCAGTTCCAATTATTTGGCATCAAAAGCCTTCATGGTAGGTAGAGCGTTGGGTAAAAATGGATCGGAGACTCTTTTCTCTCCTTGTTACTACTTTCTTATGTAACTGAATGGACGGAGATCCTTTGCTCCTATGTCCTCAGGCTAATTTCTGTCTAGTCTTGTGATGCCCTGCTTTCTACTAGCTGACTTTGAAATACAACATGTGAAAAGTAGACATTTGTTCATCTATTCCTTTGGCTACTAGAACTCTTCTGTAGTCCTTTTTACTTATACTGAATTCCACTTCTGCTTCCCCTAAATAGGTCAGAGCACCTCATTTCTATATTACTAGGCTGTAGAACTGTTTCTCCCCATAGGTATAAAACTAAGTGTTTGGGATATTCAGGGAACCCACCCCAATATTATATTGCCATTTATTGGGAAGGGCTGGGATCATATGTATTTCTATGTTCTGTAAAGGATTTGACTTACTGGTTCTCAATAAAATTTTATTAGGACTATCTATTGTCTTGAACGTTTTGTTTGATTTGGTTTATACTTAAGAACAGTGTTCTTCAGTGGTAAATGATGGCTTTTTCTCTATACACTCACCCCTAATGTTTCTCCCTGACTTTTTCTTCATTGTTGGGTGAAACAAGATGTGCAGTACTTTCTGAAAATAGAGATGTATTAGAGGAAAATATTTTTAAATCTGATCATTATAGAATTAGGAGGAAGGCATCTACTAGGCTTCAAGCAGGGCAGTGCATTATACATATGAGAATCCACCCTGTGGTTAATAACTAAAGGCATAATTCTAGAAATGGATTTCCCTGATGACAGTTCTGAAAGGAACTTGGAATAGAGAAGATGACATGAGGCATAATTATAAACTGTCTGTGCAGAGGTTAGGAAGGAAGGAGTTTGCTGAATCACCTGGCATAACTGTCCCATTTATTTTCATGACACAGCCCTGTAGTGTCACTTAGCACAACAGAGACCTGCCAAATTATACAGTACTTGTTTTCATCCCTGAATGAGGTTTTGTCATTGGGTGCATATGATTAAAATCCCCTTCATACCCCTGGTCTATTGTATTAATGACTCATAATACTAAGGATAAATACACATTTTTATATCCCTTCTTTGAATGAAGGTTTCGATGGCAGAGTCACATCTTTGACATGGGCAGTGAGGTGTGGAGAGGACAGAGCCTCAAAGAAGCCACCCAAAGATTCCTCAAGTGATGCCTGGAGCATCCCCGCTAACTCCCCGAGATTACAACTCAGTTGTTCTTTTTTTAAATATATTTTATTGATTTATTACAGAGAGGATGGGAGAGAGAGAGAGAGCTAGAAACATCGATGAGAGAGAAACATCGATCAGCTGCCTCCTGCACATCTCCTACTGGGGATGTGCCCGCAACCCAGGCACATGCCCTTGACCAGAATCGAACCCGGGACCCTTCAGCCTGCAGGCCAATGCTCTATCCACTGAGCAAAACCGGTTTCGGCAACAACTCAGTTGTTAAGGCCAGCTAGCACTGTTCCCTGGTTTACTGTGCCCGGCTCATCTTCCCACCAGAAGAAAAATAATGGCAAACGCATTAGGTTGTACCACAGTTGTCATTTCATGAACAAACAAAACCTGAAGAAGAAATTTGTCCCCTGCTTCATAACAATGGTAGTTTGATTTACGGTTTTCTAACTTTGCATTAGAAAGGCCTTTGTCTCCTTCCTTCTTCTCGTAGTCTCTGAATATAATAATATTTGTGTCACTTCTATTTCCCTAGATATTTTCCACTGTGGAGTCAGTGTTATTAAAAGTCTCATGAGTTCTTTGCTCTTATAAGCACCATTTAAACTGAAAAGCCTAACAGTCAGTCCCCTGATAATTTGCTTTCTCACTCTGTTTCTCATCCACACTCGCTGTCTTCCTTTTAAAGCTGAGGTTCAATAAACAAAGTGAGAGAACCTTGGCTTTTTACAATGGAGAACACGTTGGCTTCATCGGACTCATTATGTAAAATATCGAAACACTATTTTCCAGGAGCCCCGTGCTGGTGCATCCTCGGGGACTTATTTGACAATTTTGTGAGTAATGGGAGAGAACAGCAAACACAATAAACCAGGAGGCGAAATAATGAGAACAGAGAAATGGATCTTAGCAGGACCACTGCTCAGAGTCAGCCAGTTTAATTTCATATTCCTACACTATGTTAACGTTTCATCCACATGCAAACTACAATCCTGGTGACATGAACTCTGCAGCTAATGTTCTATCACTCTACAAATAAGTATTAGAGACGGAATCTGGGAGGTACACAGTCATTATGCAGGGAAGGCAAGATTCTTGACACATCCCTTTGTAAAGTAGTGTCACAGTTGCCTAATTTCTCTGATAAAGCTGGGATATTAAGAAAGGCATCTGTCACCCCCAAAATACTGATTTGGCTCATGGTGAAAGTTGATGGTTCATATTGATCTCTCAGGATTCCACATTCAGGAATTAACACACACCCTTGCTGATATAATTCAAACAGCTGGCAGTCTGTTTATAGGACGGAGACATGTCATTGTATTTAATCATGCCATGAGCAATGCTTTAAAACCATTGTGTCCCCGAAATTCACTGAATACATGCAGGTTTGTATGCAAGGTACCTGGTGGGCTTGAGG